CAGCAGCATGTGCATCCTCAGGCTGACCTTTAAACAGACTGGTCAGTGCTCCCCATGGTCACAAGCTGACTACCTCTCATTGCATACTAAAAAGCAAAGAAAGCCACAAAGGCTAGCAGTTTGTAACTGACCCCTGAAGACACTGTGTGCTTAAGAAAGCACTCCTGAAAGCTAAAGTCAGAAGTCACACAACTCCAGGTTATAGTCCAACAGGTTTATTTGGAATCACACAGCTTTTGGAGTGCAGCTCCTTTGTTGGGTGTAGGGGCTGCACCCCAAAAGCTTGTGTGATTCCAAATAAATGTGTCGGACTATAACCTGATGTCGTGTGACTTCTGACTTTGTCCACTCCTGTCCAACGCCAGCACTTCCACACCCTGTGAGCCACCTAGGGGCTCGCTGTCCATCAGTTAGTGTTGAAGTCAGTGAGCATGCACTAAGAAAGCATTGTAAAGCATACAGATACTGGCAACCTCCATATAAACAGCAAAGTAAGTGAACACTAAAAACACAGAGAAGAGCTGGTGGTGTAGTGGTAATGTCACTGGATTTTATAGTGCAGCATTTCAGCCTAATGTTCTGACAATGTGGGTTTGAATCCCATCAGAGCAGATAGTGACAGCTGAATTCAATCAACATCTGGAATAATGTCATCACTGTTGTAAAAACACATCTGGTTTAAAAAAGAATCCCCTCGTCCTCACGTACCACCCCACCAACCTCCGGATCCAACGCATCATCCTCCGACACTTCCGCCATCTGCAATCCGACCCCACCACCAAAGACATCTTTCCCTCCCCACCCTTATCTGCTTTCGGAGGGATCACTCTCTCCGTAACTCCCTTGTCCGCTCCACACTCCCCTCCAGCTCCACCACACCCGGCACTTTTCCCTGCAACCGCAGGAAGTGCTACACCTGCCCCCATACCTCCTCCCTCACCCCCATCCCAGGCCCCAAGAAGACTTTCCACATCAAGCAGATGTTCACCTGCACATCTGCCAATGTGGTATACTGCATCCGCTGTACCCGGTGTGGCTTCCTCTACATCGGGGAAACCAAGCGGAGGCTCGGGGACCGCTTTGCAGAACACCTACGCTCGGTTCGCAATAAACAACTGCACCTCCCAGTCGCGAACCATTTCAACTCCCCCTCCCATTCCTCAGACGACATGTCCATCCTGGGCCTCCTGCAGTGCCACAACGATGCCACCCGAAGGTTGCAGGAACAGCAACTCATATTCCGCTTGGGAACCCTGCAGCCCAATGGTATCAATGTGGATTTCACAAGCTTCAAAATCTCCCATCCCCCTACATGATTTCCCACACACAAAGCCATGCTGACTATCCCTAATCAGTCCTTGCCTTTCCAAATGCATGTAGATATTGTCTCTCAGAATCTCGTCCACTACTACTGATGTAAAGCCCACCAGTCTGTCATTCCCTGGCTTTTCCTTGCAGTCTTCCTTCAATAATTTTACAATATTAGCCAACCTCCAGTCATCTGGCAGCTCACCTGTGCCTGTCAATGGCACAAGTATCTCTGCCAGGGGCCCCACAATTTCTTCCCTAGCTTCCCACAATGTCCTGGGATACACTTGATCAGGTAAGAATGGAGACCACTAACTAGTGGTGTTTTACAGGGATCTGTCTTAGGTCCTCCATTGTTTGTAGTATATATATGTGATCTGGAGGAAAATGTGGGGTGGTCTGATAAGCAAGTTTGCTGATGACATGAAGATTGGTGGAGTTGCTGATAGTACCATTGATTGTGAAAGTATACAACAGGATATAGATAGATTGGTGACATGGGCACAAAAATGGCAGACGGTTTTTAATCCTGACAAACGCAAGGTGACGCATTTTGAAGAATCAAATTTAGGTGTGAATTATACTATAAATGGCAGAACCCTTAGGAACATTAACATACGGATGGATCTGGGTGTGCAGTTCCCTAAAAGTGGCAACACAGGTGGCCAAGGTAATTAAGAAGGCATATGGCATGCTTGCCTTCATTAGCCAGGCCATGGATTCCAAGAATTGGCAAACCACGTTGCAGCTATATTGAACCATTTGGAATTTTGTGTGCAGTTCTGCTTGCCACACTTCCAGAACGACGTGAAAGTGTTGGAGAGAGTGCAGAGAAGGTTCACCAGGAGCTTGCCCGATCTCAAGGGCATTGGCTATGAGGAAAGGTTAAAAAGACTAGGATTGTTTTCACTGGAAAGGTGGCAGCTGAGAGGAGACCTGATAGAGGTCTACAAAATGATGAGAGGAACATAGATAGGGTGGATAATCAGAGGCTTTTTCCCAGGATTGAAGTTTCAATTGCAAGGGGGCACAAGTTCACGGTAAGAGAGGGAAAGTTTAAGGGAGATGTGCGAGGGAGGTTTTTCACACAGAGAGTGTAGGAGCCTGGAACGCATTGCCAGAAGAAGCAGGCACGCTGGCGACATTTAAGAGGCATCTGGATGGTTACATGAATAGGGACGGAATAGAGGGACACGGATCAAATAAAGGCAGAAGGTTTGGTTTTTAGTTTAGTTAAGGCAAGATGATCAGCACAGGCTTGGATGGCCGAAGGACCTGTTCCTGTGCTGTACTTCTCTTTTGTTCTTATCTACCTTTATGCATTGTAAGACCTCCGGCACCTCCTCTTCTGTAATGCAGACTCTTTTCAAGATATCACTATTTACTTTCCTGCATTCCCTAGCTTTGATGTCTTTCTCCATGGTAAATACTGAAAGTCTATGGAAATACTCTTTCAATGTTTAATCCTCAATTTGCCTCTCTTTCCCACTCCTTACTTTAAACCCACTACAGTTCCGGCCCTCTCTGGAACTCCACTGTATCCTTCTTGACCTCCAATTTGTTGTGCCCTGCTGTTAATGCCTTCACCTGCTGGTCACTCCCTCCACCCATGTCCCTGGATATTCTTCTCAGTTGACTTCCAGCCGGACGTACCTCACCATGTTAGCTGGTTTCCCTAAGATTGCTTATTTCCATCGTATCATATCACCCAACTCAGCTCCATTGCTGCTGGAACTCTCAGCCTTGCTTATCTCTAGACTTGACTATTCCAATACAATCCTGGCTGATCTTTCTCATTTTAAAACCTCATTAAAACCTTTGCTGCTTGTGTCCTTACTTCCTTGCATCTAGTCTCATTCATCCATCATCCATATGCTCACTGACATCCATTGGCTCCTTGATATAGAATGCATTGATTTTAAAATTATGTTCCTTGTTTTCAAATTCCTCCATGGTATCACTGTTCCTTATCTCTATTATCTCCTCCAGCCACACAGCCTTGCACATCTCTGGTCTCTTGACCTCTCTAATTTTAATTGTTCCACATTTGGGGTTGTGCTTTCAGCTGCTTAGGCTCTTGGCTCTGGAATTACATCCCCAAACCTCTTCACCTTTCATTCCTCCTTTAAGAGGATCCTTAAACCCTGTTACATAAGGGTTTAAGAGTCTGCTAGGATCGCTGCTGGGGAGTGCATTAAATACTGTTGTCCGGTTCTGAATAACAACCAATGGAAACTGAAAGAAGCCTGTGTCTCTACCTCTCCTCAAAACCCCCTGCAGTCTCCTAATGTTTGATGTGGAGATGCCGCTGTTGGACTGGGGTGGACAATGTCAGAAATCACACAACACCAGGTTAAAGCTTTTTTCTGATGAAGGGTCTAGGCCCAAACGTCAGCCTCTCTGCTCCTATGATGCTGCTTGGCCTGCTGTGTTCATCCAGCCCTGCACCTTGTTGTCTCGGATTCTCCAGCATCTGCAGTTCCTACTATCTCAGGTTATAGTCCAACAGGTTTATTTGAAAACACAAGCTTTCGGAGCCTAACACCTGAAGGAGAGACTCGGAAAGCTTGTGCTTTCAAATAAACCCGTTAGACAATAACCTGGTGTTGTGTGATTTCTGACATTGTTTCCTAACGTTTGTTCTAGTATCGAACTACGAGACAGAAAGGTTCTGTGAATGCCACAGATCGATATGTGGTCGTGGATATAACTCACTTAATATTACCAGAGAGGAGAAAAAAAACGCTGATAGTCACAAGCGAAGAACAAATTAAAATTTGTGTGAAACACTGAGAGACAACTTCTATAAAAACAGTACAATTGCTAAGATTGTCTGGATTATATAATTAACAGTATATTTGCGAAAATTACTTAGCATCACATATATATTTAACACCATAGTTTCAAGTGTCAGCTGTGCAGTTTGCAAATGTGAGCAGCGAGATTTCTTCGTTCAATGTTGGTTATGAACAAACAGCACGTATTGGTCTCTTGCTGATCTTAATCTCTTGTACGCAATAAACAATGTAGTCCGTTCAAATGTAACATGATTTTCTTTATTGATCCTGGTTTATAGCATTTTTGGAATCAAAAATTAAGACAACGTATAAATATTTAATACAAATGATAAGCAAAATCTGTTTGAAATGCTGCACTTTGCACGCTTACGCTTTTTTTAAACAAATGATGTCCTACAGTGCGACCTTTAATAAATTGTATTATCACAATCTGTACAATTGCATAATTCAGTCTCATTAAACAATGATGAAACGGTTTGCACAGGATCATGCATACATGGACTACCGGACTCACACTTCTGTCAGGGAGGGTGAGGAAGCATGTGCTCCAATGGAACGCCCGCGCGCCCGGTGGCCTGATCCACCGCTGCCTCCCATTGGACAAAGCCCGCGCTGGTGGACGCAGACCGTTGTCCGATTGGCTGTCAGGCTCGCAAGGATACCCTCGCGGGGGGGGTCATCCAGTCCTCTCCGGGAGAGAGAGCGCGGATTGGTTGGGTGTGGGGAGCGGAGGGCGGAGCCAGAGTACCGGCGTTGGAAGGCGGGGAAAGGGATCAGCCAATGGTGAACGGGATTGGCGACGGAAGGGCGGTGTTAGCTGGAACGTGGCGGGGTTAGCGGGAATGGGGCGGGGTTAGCGGCCAGGGGGACGTTGTTGCGCGCGGAGGCGGGGGGGGAGGGGTTCGTGCGGTCGCTCGCGCGGTCGGTGGCGATCGGCACGGGCTGTTTGTCGATGGGGTCGGTTATTTACTTGGCCGTGCTGGCGGCCCTGCTCTTTGTCTGGATCCGCACCAAAGGCGTAGAGTACATCATCATCCATCACCGCTGGGTGTTCGTCTGCCTTTTCTTGTTGCCCCTCTCCGTGGTTTTCGATGTTTACTATTATCTCCGGGCTTGGCTGGTCTTCAAGCTGTGCAGTGCACCCAAACAACACGACCAGCGGGTGAGGGACATCCAGAGGCAGGTGAGGGTCAGTCTGTATGAAGCAGAGTGTCATTGTACTGTGCAAACCCATCCAGTGCCAAGAGTGTAAACAATCCAGGAGTGACCACCTCTGGTAGACCCTTATGTACCATCCTATATACACGTGCAGGGTGCTGCACCTCCACTCTCAACACCATCACCCAGTATTCACTACCCCCATTACCTAGTGCACCCGAGTCTATTGTGCCCCATCTCCATTAACCACCATCCAAAGGTTGCTCCACCCCTGGGTGCTCTCACCACTAGAATTCCTCCCGCTGAAATGTTGCTTCAGACTGGGAATCTTTGTGCTTTTCATAGTAATTTCCTACCCAGGAGGCTGCGTGTAAACTGCACCCTGGCTTGGGGACCTATCTTGGGGTTGGCTAATCTCTGTTTAAATGTTTAAACCCGTACATGATATACTAATCACACTCAACAGACTGGCACTTTGAGTCTCCCTTCAACATAGAATGTAATATCCTGTTTGTAACCCATTATTAAATCACATGCTCAGTTCAACTGGAGAAATCAGATAATCCAGGGGCAAGAATCTCCAAACCCTGTAGAGCACGTATTTGTATGAATAAACCTACTTAGGATCTAGTGAAGGTCAGCACTATGGAATGGATTATAATACATTGCTGGAGACTAATGATGGTCTGCCTATGGTAGACAAAGATACATGACAAATGAATAAAATGTTCTGAATACTGCCTGAAGTAAAGTGAAGTTTCCTGTCCTTACAGTACATGCTGTATAATGACTTTATCAGCATCCTCTGTTTGCTTACAAGGCTGTGGTTTACCAATGAAAATTAATGGTCACAAAAATGATTTCCCTTGAGCACCCTTGGCTCTTTAAATGTCTCATCCTTGCAATTCTCATATCAAAATCAATAATTACAGGACAGCATGTGTTGTATGTAGTTGGTGGTATAACAGACAGTTTAACCACTTTATCAACTACAAAATTCCCAGTGTAAGACTGCTTCTGAAAACAACATTTGGCTTGTGCGACAGCTGGTTAAGTATGGAGTTAATTTCAAGAAGGTGTCAATTGTGTCTTCATTGGGAGTAGAGTGTTAAGTGGATCACATTTGCACTCCATTATTTCTTAAGCCTGGCCTGGTGATTGTTTCATTTCTCTGGATATAAAGGTCAGAGACAGGAGAGAGAGAAAAACCAGATTTGGTACCTTTCCATCCCTAGAATTTTCAGGGTTTCCAGGAAGAAGGATGATGGAGTTGGCTTTGTGCTTGACATGCCAATGAGATAGGGTGGCATGGTGGCTCAGTGGTTAGCACTGCTGCCTCATAGTGCTAGGGACCCAGATTCAATTCCACCCTCGGGCAACTGTCTGTGTGGTGTTTACGCATTCTCCCCATGTCTGTGTGGGTTTCCTCGAGGTGCTCCAGTTTCCTCCCACAGTCCAAAGATGTGTAGGCTAGGTGGATTGGCCATGCTAAATTGCCTGGAGTGTTCAGGGATGTGTAGATTAGGTGGGTTATAGCAGGGTGGGTCTGGGTGGGATGCTTTGAGGTGTGGAATTGTTGGGCTGAAGAGCCTGTCCCACACTGTAGGGATTCTATGATCTAGATAGTTGGGGCGTTTTTAGTGAAACTTCTTCCAAAAGTACTTTGTATTAAGAATAGATTACCATAATTAGATTACATCAAGAGAACTGTTTGAATTAATACTTTTCACAGTCTGTTTTCCTTCATTCAATGCCAAAGAAATGGTGTGGTTTTTCCTTCCGTATATAATTTGCAAATCTCATTCTGTTTCCTGAAGGGATCAGGGAGGGTCTCGTGGTTCTGAGTTGTGTTATGGCAACTAGCTGCATATTGGATACTGATGTCAGTGTCTTCTGATCAATGTCATACATATATCTGGACATTGGCAAGTGAAATTCCTTATTTTGGGCTAGCTGAGTGGGGCCAGTGGATTTCCTCCAGCTAATGTGTGTATTATGTATTACTGTACTTTGGATCCTGGGAAGTATGCAACCCTTCCATACAACTGTATGGTCCAGTCTGTCTCTGCTTGTTTTGTTTCCATTAATTATGATTTGGTTAGCTCTCATGTAAAGAGTGTTGGTGATTGTAGTGATTGGAGCCAGTTGGATCTTGTTGACTGTGAGATCCTTGATTGGGATTGTTAACCTGAGCCAATCAGAAAGCCCTCGCTGACCACTATAAACAGGGGATTTAGAATCTCTTCAGTTCAGGGGACTGACAAGGCCTTCTAGGTGTAATGATTCCTTTCCTTGTCAGAGAGCAGTGTTGTTAGATGACCTTGACTGCAAGTCTTAAATGTAGCAGTTTGCAGAGTTACACTGTTGTCTTTTGGTAAAGTGCACTTTTTGTATGTCAAGCTCTTCTGTTGTGACCAATGCTGTCTGTATATTCTGTTTAGGAGGAGGGGGAAATAGTTCTTTTCTGGGTTACATCCTTCACCTAAGATGGTAACTGATTCTTTGCTCCACTTCTACTCTGCAACAGTGACAGAGAGATATTGACACAGTAGTACCTGCCAGAGATGTCATAACTGTAGATACAGAGATGGGAAGGTTTCTGTAAATATTTGAGTGGGTTGATAATGAGAAAGAGTATGAATCTTTGTGAAAATGATTCTTTTAAAATTGATAAGCATTCCCAAACTGCATAAGTAATTATACAAGGTTGCCAGTCTCTGCCATTCCTGAACTCCTCACTTCAGCCTTTACCAGTGAAGCTGAGTAGCTGCTGCACTTCAGTTATTTACTTCTAACCTGAAGTGTATTAACTGTTAAAAACACCGGAGACACACAGCTGCCTTTGTCACTGATATGCATGAATACGGCCAGTGGATTTAGTGAGCAGATTGCAGTAATGTTTGAAAACTGAAAAAAAAAACCCTCTAAGCGCTTTTAGCAGCAAAAACAACTTTTCCACAAAATTAGTTACCTAAAGTTAATATTTGAAATGAAGTCACCCCACAAGACATCCCCCAACCCCACCCAGCCAGCCAATCCCAACAAAGAAGAGTTGCTTCTGTCTGCTTCTAGATCCAATCTGTAAGGTTTAATTGCCTCTATATTGGGCTAGAAAGGTGAAAGTTAGCTAATTGTCTGGAGCACAAATGGACTCAATTAACAATCTTTCAAGTTTAAAAACACACAATCTTACAAATATGCAGGAAATTGCATAGGGTTAATTCTTCAACAGTGTCTTTAAATGCTGTTTGTCTTTACGGTTTGTTTTTCTCTCTGTTTGTTGAGCAAAATAACCATTATATATGATAACCATTTGTATGTCCTTTACTCAGCCCCACACCCAGGCTCTGTCATGACATGGGCTGACTTCAGCACAGCCAACCCATATTCATTTACATATGATATCCATAATTTGATTTCTTTCTCCTTGGCATACTGTCATCCATCCCTTTGTCTGCCTAACTATCATTCTCTCTCTCTCTTTCTCTCTCTCTCTCTCTCTCTCTCTTTCCCCCCCACTCCCACCAAACCTGTGCTCTATCTCCTCCTATCTGCTCCCTCCCTCACCACCCTTCTCTCCCCCGACCCCCTGTCTTCAGCATATGTACCACTTTTCCTAGCTATTATCAGTTCCAAGCAAGGGTCACTGGACTTAAAAACATTAACACTGCTTTCTCTCCACAGATACTGTCAGACCTGCTGAGTTCCAGCAATTTTCTTTTCGTTTCAAAGAACACATAGTTCTTTGTTTTATTATATAACCATAGATAGACTTTTTTCCATTTTGCCACATATTCAGCCCTGGCTTTGGTTATTCTCTCTTCATTTGTTTGTTTGTCCTTTGAAACAACATGTCTTGAACAAGATTAGTCCTTGAGAAAATCAGCAAGTTGATAACTCATCTGTAATGCTTTTTCACTTTCACTACAGCTCATGCAGTAAGCCTGATTTTGGTCAAGTTAATAATGGCCTAATGGCCCTTATTTCAGTAAAATATTATCCTTCATTTGCTGTTTATGCTTTTAACTAACTGAGCTTTTACCCATAAATGTTTGATTGAGGCACACAAATATTGACATTTAATCATGAGAGAATGCAAAAAATATTTGATTTGCGTGTGTACAGGTTTATATAATACTGTAGGTATACATTAGAACTATAATGTAATATTTTAAATCCCTAAGGTTTTTTTGCTCAGCAAATACAAGCAACTGAAAGGTGATTTGTCTGTATGAAACGTGGCTGCTTGAAAGCAAAATCTCAAGTTACAAATTATACCTAACACACAGTCTGGTGAATTACATGTTTCTTTTAATGTTCATCTGTTTAGTGAACTCTCCCAGCACTTGTAGATCTACACCCAGCTGAATTGCTACTGATGTTTTGACCTTAGGCTTCATATGTAGAGATATTGAATACAAGAGCAGAGAAGTTATGCTGAACATTTAATAAGGCTGAAAAACAAAAATTGCTGGAAAAGTTCAGCAGGCCTGGCAGCATCTCTGGAGAGAAATCAGAGTTAATGTTTTGGGTCAAGTGACACTTCCTCAGGGGTTTTGAGGAGGGCTCACTTAACCTGAAATGTTAACTCTGATTTCTCTCCACAGATGCTACCAGACCTGCTAAGCTTTTCCAGCAATTTCTATTTTTGTTTCTGATTTACAGCATCTGCAGTTTTTTTCAGTTTTTGTTTAATAAGGCTTGGTTAACTGACAACTAGAGTATAGCGACCTGTTTTGATTCCGCACTTTAGGAAGGATGCATGGTTCCTTGAGAAGATGCAAGGCCATTTTCAAGAGTGATTGCAGGGATGAGGAGATTTTAGTCATAAGATTAGGCTGGAAGATCTGGTGGTATTCTCCTTGGAGCAAAGGAGCTTGAGGGGAGGTTTGTTAGAGGTGTACAGGGTTTTAGTAGGTTTAAAGAAGGAAAACTTTTCATTCACTGGTGGTACAAGGAAGAGGGGCACAGATTAATGGTCTTAGGCAAGAAATACAAGGGGAGTATGAGGAAGATCTTTTATGCAGTGAATAGCAATAACTTATTGCTGAGGTTGGTGTTGGCAACAGAGTTGATTGATTTTCAAAATTAAATTGTGTGGGCAGTTAATGAAGTGAAACTTTTAGGACTACAAGAATGGAGTTGAGAAATGGGCCCAATTGGGTTTGTTTTAGAGAGTCAACATGGACTTCCTGTCTGCCATAGAGAATTTTGGACTGTTTTATCCAACAGGCTGGACTGTTTTCAGGATTTTTGCTTAATTCTCGTTCCTGTAACTAGAGGTTGCTGATTGCTCAAGCTTACATGCTGACCAGACTGACACGTTTGTTATATTTGGATTTGTACCTGCATCTCTGAATTCCTTTACACACCTTAATGGCCTTCGTCCTGCACTCAAATTTACCTTTGAATTGGACGGTCAAACCAGCTCCTATTCCTCAACCTACTATTTGAGAAATTTGCCAATGGGTTTTTGTACTACTATTTACTTGCCTTCACTTGTACATATTGGCATTCCTACAGTTCAAGATTACAATGTTAATCTTATTGCAGCCTCTTGAATAGGGTTCTGAGGAAGGGTCACCGGATCCGAAACGTTAACACTGTTTTTCCCTTCACAGATGCTGCCAGCCCTGCTGAGCTTTTCCAGCAACTTTGTTTTTGCTCTTGAATAGGGCCCTAGCTATCTGCTTGCTGCGTAGCTTGACACTGAGATAAGATGTATTAAAATTGATGGGATGTGCACTCAGAATCACAGAGCTACAACTTTATATTTTGTGGGTTTTGTAGTTAAAGTATACATCAACATAAGGTATGCTGGCAATAGACTCAAATCTACATGATCTTACCAAAATTAATTAGTTATAAATGTCAGGGAAAACAAATAGTTGGCAGTGATTGCAATCTAGATTCTAGGCAATTCTGGGTCCAAGTAGAGTTCAGGTTTTAATAGTAGTTTATCATCATACTACTTAGGTTGTGAGATTTTGATTTTGGAAATACTTCAGGCCACGTATGGAAGTTAATAGAAAATTTGATATCATTTTCCAAAATAATTTAGGAAAATCTCAAAAAAGTTTATCCCCATTTAGTTTGATGTCTAGATTATCTTCTGGACGGGTACCCTAATTCTACTCTTTAAATTGAAAGAGATATTTAAAAGTTTTGGCCATAATGCAGCCTGGTTATAGTAATTGGGCACATTTTTCTGGATATTGCTATGCGGAGTTTAAAGATGAAAAAGCTGCTGCAAAAGCTATGTGATGAGAATGCCTGGAATTAAGACAGTCAGTCAATGTTTACATCGACAAAATAAAGAATCTGGAATTTAATATGCTACTTTTGGTAGCTGTTATGATTTTGCTTTTTAGAACAAAAATTTCTTCTGCTTTATGCTACTTTCCCTTTCTTTGAAAAGTATTGATTAGCTAAAGTGAAACAAGCCATTTAGCCATAGGTTTTATCAGATACACTTCTTGAGCTCACTGCCTGGGGGAGTCTGAATCCTATTGGGTTGTTTGCAAAACAGTTCAAAACCAAGCTTAAAAAGATAACTGAAGAGGTTCAAGCTAATCTCCAGCTTCTATAAGCTGCAGTGCCAGTGAACAAATTTGTTACATACCAACTTTAATCCGTGAACTTCTTTAAACCTCTCAAAGTCTGTGAATCAATAGGGTAAAGGTTTGCACTATAGATATCTGGGAGAAATAAATATTAATGTATTGTAATAGACAATGCTAACCCATGGCACAATAATAAAGATTTGGGGTAATCAGAAAATTTGAGCATTCTATTGGGCATCTAAATGTGAAAGTATAGGATGTAAGCTGAGGAAGGACTTTTCAACTGTTAATGTTTGAGAGGCTTTGAATAACAGCAATGGGCATACTGTTGCCTCCTTTATACAGGAGTTATGTCTTGCTCACCCTAAAATGTTCTTTGTATATTTACCTGAGTTACCTGTGTTCAATGTAGTTTATATCTGTTTTTAAGTTGGAAGAGTCTGGTGGCACAGAGGATAATGTCCCTGGCTCTGAGTCAGAGGCTCTAGGTTGAAGTCCCATTTTAGGACTTGTTGGCCAAGGAAATGCATTCTTAACAGAATCAGACCAATCTGCAAGTTCTTCCAATGTTCCTGCTCTCGCCACCTGCCATCAGTGTGATATTCCTAGATCATAAGAAATAGGAACAGGAGGTTACTCAAACCTGCTCTGCCATTGTATAGGATAATGGCTGATCCGACATTCCTCACATTCACTTTCCTGCCCTTTCCCCATAACCCTTCATTCCTCTACTCATCTAGCATCTAACTATCTCAAATATAAATTAACTTATCATAAATATACACAAGGACTCTGTCCCCACAGCCATCTGTGGCAAGGTGTTCCGAAGACACGTGACCCTTTAAGAGAAGAAATTCCTCCTTATCCCAGTCTTAAATTGATACCCCTTTATTCTGAGATTACGCCCTGTTTTCCTAGACTTTCCTCGACCCGAAATGTTAACTTTGCTATCTCTCCACAGATGGTGCCAGAGCTGCTAAGTTTTTCTAACAATTTCTGTTTGTGTTCCTGATTTCCAGCATTCACAGTTCTTTGGTTTTATTTACCCTTAAGAATCCTATATGTTTCCGTGAGGTCACCTCTCATTCTTCTAAATACCAATGAGTAGAGTCCCAAGCTGTTTAACCTTTGCTCATAAGCCAATTGCTCCTGTAGGGGATCATTCTAGTGAACCTTCTTTGAACAGCCTGAACACTTTTGGTCGTCCCTGTGATGGAAAGAACATTGAATCCTGTACCATCATTATTATAGTTTCTGACTACAACAAGCTTGTAAAAAGTGCATATTTTCATAGCATCTTGGACTCCTTGGGGAAAATTCAGTGGATGGCTAGTGTGGATCAGGGTTAGTGCCAACAGCACAATGATTTATAGTTGTTCCAGCTGGGATGGATTTGGGCCCTTCCTGTGGTGGAAGGACCTGACTTTGGACAGTGATGAGAAATGTAGTAGTTCTTACTTTGTTCCTTTGTAAAGATTTTGGTATCAAAAACTTCCTTGTAATGATGGGCGGTGTAGCAATTTTGTTGGAATGCCCTTTGCCACCAGCCTCGTGCTGTTGTCTGGGATTGGCGAAGAGGACCTTTTATACAAATGCCTTTTCATGTTTGGCTTGGAGAACTGACATTATGATGGTGTAAATACCACCTCTACATTGCTGGTGTCCAGATCCTGTTGTGGGCTGCCTTGGGCTTTCTTAGTAGTTGTAAATGAAATTGAAGACTGTGGACTTGTCAATAAACAGCTCACTTGTGACCTTAATGATGGAAGGAGTTCATTAGTATGGCAACTAAAAATAATTGCCCTAAGGACAGTTTTATAAGGAGCCGTTGTAGTGATGTTCAGGAGCTATAACGATTGACCACTGCCAACCACAGCTATCAGTATTTGTGATGACCACTGTCTAATTTTTACTTTTAATGTCCATTTATAATCAGTTTTGCTAGAACCTCCTAAATGTATTTAGGAAATAGTAAATGTTCTAAATGTGATTTTGTAAGCTAACTAACTGACTTTTTTCAGGTGAATTATTGGTTTGGCTGTTTGGAATACAAATCTTGCTTTTGTCTTTCTATGAGTCATTTATATTTTTAACAAAATCTCTTGAATAACTTAGACGTATTGAATCTAATTTCAAGTGTTTTCTTGGCAGTATATGACCACAATGTAAATTGATGAAAAATTTTTGATAAGTATGTTTAAAATCATTTTGACCTCCAGCAATTTCTTATTTGTAAACCAGTTAATTATAACTGATTCTGATGTTCAGTAATGATTTAGCAATTTTGATCTCCAGATAATCACCTGAGTCCTTAAAAGAGCTCCAGTGCAAGGAATTCAGCCACAAGCTTCAGATTATAAATTGTGTTTGTGTTTAAGCATAAGTGATGGACATAATGTAGATTTTCAACAAATGTAGAATGCTGAGCTTATTCTAACGAGCAGAAGTTAAAATAATAATTTGATAGCGATGAGTTCTATTTCTATTATATGAGTTAAGCTTGACTTGTTCCTGTTGAAATGAAGACTGCAATATACTAACATAGTTCTGTCTCTTTAAATAGGTACGCGAATGGAAAAATGAAGGAAGTAAAACGTACATGTGTACTGGTCGGCCAGGTTGGCTGACTGTATCGCTTCGGGTTGGCAAATATAAGAAGACACACAAAAATATCATGATCAACTTGATGGACATTCTGGAGGTGGACACTAAGCAACAGGTAGCTTGACCTTGTAACAATGAAACAAAATGTAAAAATCTATACTTATCAAGCCTTTTTCAGTTAGACTAGTTTACTTAAATTGGTTTTAAAGTTCATAGTAGTAGTGCTACTATGATTCAGTCACCGACAGTCTTGCCTGTTTTTTACATTTTTAAAATTGAGTAAAACTCAGCCTCTGTGGCCATTTTTTGTTTGCATGCTTAGCAAATTCCAGCTGCATGTACCCTTGTGTTTTGTCACTTGACTGCATTTTCTGGGCAGCTTGATCATAAGTAAACGATGTGGTTGGCGCACTATCTTATCTGTTTTGCTTGGGGAAAGAATATGAATTGGCAAGCGTTAACTATTAAAGCACCATTATGTAAGATAAAGGTCTGTATGAAATGGCTTTAGCTTTTCTTCAGCCCAACATTTCTAATTGGAACTAAATTACAATGGAGAAATGTAGGGTAGAAGCCGCATGTTTCCTAACAGACCAACAGAAGATTAAGGTTATCTGTCTGTAGACAGCAGTTTCGAATGGCATTAACAGAAATGTGCAAGTATCATTTGAGGATTTTGAGGGGAAATAAGGAGTGAAGTAGAGGAATTCCAATTTCCTCTCACAGTCCAAAGATGTGCTGGTTAGGTGATTGGACATGCTAAATTGCCCATAGTGTTCAGGGATGTGCAGATTAGGTGGGTTACAGGGAAAAGGGATAGGGGGACGGGTCTGGGTAGGATGCTGTTCACAGGGTCGGTGTGGACTTGTTGAGCTGAAGGGCCGATTTCCACACTATAGGGATTCTATAATTCTATGAAGTGTTGGTTTTCACAGTGAAGATGAAGTGGCATTGAAAATGTTACAAAAACAAAATGAACTGCTTTAGACTGAACATTTAGCATTTTGTAGACCCAAAAGTGGAACAGTGAATGATTTGTGAAGCTAAATTGTGTTTTTAGATAATTTGGAGATTTTCTTTGTGTAAAATGCAGACTTGATATTGACCTACCCCATCAGTGACTGTGTTATAGTAAGTTGAGCAAATCGAAAGCTGAATCCCGATAAACCTTGGTGTTCTGTAATCTGCTACCTCTTCTAAACCCAAAGCATTTGGCTGAAAAATTCCCTTAGGGTGATAGCCCACATTCTAAGGTTTTAAAAAAAGGTGACTTCAAAGATAGTTAGTTTTAGTTTGATCTCCCAAAGATCCCTTGATCCTGGAATAGTTTCAGTGAATTGGAAGGCAGTAAATGTAACCCTGCTGTTTAACAGTTAAGAAATAGAGACAGGAACCAGTTAGTCTGATGTCAGTTGTAAGATAAAGTTATAAGACATAGGAGCAGAAGTATGCCATTTGTTCCATTATTTCTTCTTTGCCTTTCAATGAGATTGTGGCTGATCTCATAATCCTCAATTTCACATTCCTGCTTAATCCCCATAACCCTTGATTGCCTTATTGATAAAAACAAAATTGTCTATCTCTTCCTTGAATATACTTAACAACTAAATCTTGACAGCCCTCTGTGGTAAAGCATTCTGCAGATGCACTACCCTCTGAGAGAAAAAAAGTTCTCCTCATTTCTGCTTTAAATGGGTGCCCCTATCTCTTACTCTGAGATTAGACCCTCAGCCAAGAGAGAAACAACTTCTCTGCACTTATCCTGTCAAGCCCCATAAGAATCCTATATGGGTTCTATTGTGTATCATCTCATTCTTCTAAACGCCAATGAATACAATCTCAACTTGCTTAAAAGCTGTTCATAACAAAAGCCCTCCATAACTGGAATCAAGCTAGTGAACCTTTTCTTGATTGCCTCAAATACTGTTATGTATTTCCTTAGATGAGGGGACCCAAACTGTTCACAGTATCCAAAGTAATTGTCTTACTAGTGCCTTGTATAATTTTAACAAGGCCTACCTATCTTTGTGAGATAGTAGGAACTGCCGATGCTGAGAATCTGAGATAACAAGGCGTAGAGCAGTGTGAACACTGCAGGCCAGGCAGCATCAGAGGAGCAGGAAAGCTGACGTTTTGGGTCTGGACCCTTCTTCAGAAATGGGGGAGGGGAAGGGGATTCTGAAATAGATAGAGGGGGAGGCGGATGGAAGATGGATAAAGGAGCAGATAGGTGTAGAGGAGACGGACAGGTCAAGGAGGCGGGAATGGAGCCTGTAAAGGTGAGTGTAGGTGGGGAGTTAGGATGGGGGTTGGTCAGTCCAGGGAAGATGGACAGGTCAAGGAGGCTGGGATGAGACTGGTAGGTAGGAGGTGGGGGTGGGGTTTGAGGTGGGAGGAGTGGATAGGTGGGAGAAAGGACGGGCAGGTTAGGGAGGTGGGGACGAGCTGGGCTGGTTTTGGGATGTGGTCGGGGGCGGGGAGATTTTGAAGCTTGTGAAGTCCACATTGATACCATTGGGCTGCAGGGTTCCCAAGCGAAATATGAGGTACTGTTCCTGTAACCTTTGGGCGGCATCGTTGTGGCACTGCGGGAGGCCCAGGATGGACATGTTGTCCAAGGAGTGGGAGGGGGAATTGAAGTGGTTCGCGACAGTGGTGCAGTCGTTTGTCATGTACCGAGCGTAGGTGTTCCACAAAGTGGTCTCCAAGCCTCCGCTTGGTTTCCCCGATGTACAGGTGGCCACATCGGGAACAATGGATACAGTATACCACATTAGCAGATGTGCAGGTGAACATCTGTTTGATGTGGAAGGTTTTCTTGGGGCCTGGGATGGGGGTGAGGGAGGAGTCGTAGGGGCAGGTGTAGCACTTCCTGCGGTTGCAGGGAAAAGTGCCGGGGGTGGTGGGGCTGGTGGGGAGTGTGGAGCGGACAAGGGAGTCACGGAGAGAGTGGTCCCTCTGGAAGGCAGATAAGGGTGGGGAGGGAAAAATGTCTTTGGTAGTGGGGTCAGATTGCAGGTGGTGGAAGTGCCGGAGGATGATGCGTTGGATCCGGAGGTTGGTGGGGTGGTATGTGAGGACGAGGGGGATTCTGTTTTGGTTATTATTGCGGGGAGGAGGTGTGAGCGATGAGTTGCGGGAAATGCGAGAGATGCGGTTGAGAGCATTTTCGACCACTGGAGCGGAAGTTTCGGTCCTTGAAAAACGAGGACATCTGGGATGTCCGGGAGTGGAATGCCTCATCACGGGAGCAGATGCGGCAGAGGCGAAGGAATTGGGAATAGAGGATGACATTTTTGCAGGAAGGTGGGTGAGAGGAGGTGTATTAGGTAGCTGTGGGAGTCGGTAGGCTTGAAATGGATATCGGTTTCCAGGTGGTTGCCAGAGATGGAAACAGAGAGGTCCAGGAAGGAGAGAGAGGTATCGGAGATGATCCAGGTGAACTTAAGGTTGGGATGGAAGGTGTCAGTGAAGTGGATGAACTGTTTGAGCTCCTTGTGGGAGCACGAGGTGGCGCCGATACGGTCATCGATGTAATGGAGGAAGAGATGGGGAGAATAGGGCCCGTGTAGCTTCGGAAGAGAGATTTTTCCACGTATCCTACAAAGAGGCAGGCATAGCTCGGGCCCATGCGGGTACCCATGGCCACCCCCTTTGTCTGTAGGAAGTGGGAGGAGTTGAAGGAGAAGTTGTTAAGGGTCAGGACGAGTTCAGCTAAGCAGACAAGGGTGTCAGTGGAGCGGGACTGGTCGGGCCTGCGGGACAGGAAGAAGCGGAGGGCCTTTAGTCCATCTACATGGGGAATGCAAGTATATAGGGACGGGACATCCATGGTGAAGATGAAGTGTTGGGGACCAGGGAATCAGAAGTTTTGGAGGAGTTGGAGGGCATGGGTGATGTCACGGATGTAGGTGGGGAGTTCCTGGACAATGGGGAGAAAATGGAGTCGAGATAAGTGGAGATAAGTCTGGACCAAGGGGGAGCCTGCTCCACACTTCCCACCAGCCTCAACACCCCCAGCACTTTTCCCTACAACTGCAGGAAGTGCTACACCTGCCTCTACACCTCGCCCCTCACCCCCATCCCAGGCCCCAAGAAAACCTTCCCCATCAGATGTTCACCTGCACATCTGCTAATGTGGTATACTGTATCCGCTGTTCCCGATGTGGCCTTCTGTACATCGGGGAAACCAAGCGGAGGCTTGGAGACCACTTTGTGGAACATCTACGCTCGGTTCGCGACAAATGACTGCACCTCCCAGTCGCGAACCACTTCAACTCCCCCTCCCACTCCTCGGACAAAATGTCTATCCTGGGCCTCCTGCAGTGCCACAACGATGCCACCCGAAGGTTGCTGTTCCTGCAACCTTCGGGTGGCATCGTTGTGGCACTGCA